TCTTGATGCAACTGCTTTTGCATTTTCTTTGCTTTTTCCACAGCCAGTGCCCAAATATACAGACTTGCACCTCAATTCACAAACAATACTTTCTTGAGAGCTCTTATTTTGAGGCAGATCTGCCAATTCTTTTAGTGGGACAAAAAATACATCCAGTGTTGCTTTCAGAGCCTCAATAGCTGCATTTAGGAGCTCTCCATGATTCACATTGGGACTAAAGCCACCAACAGCTACCAACTTCCACGCCACCGTTTTATACAGTCTATTGAAAAAAGGCTGCTTCTGTTTCACATCTTCATTGGTTAACTTGCAAGAGAATTTGACAGAACTCTCACTTGACTGTGAAGTACTTTTAGAAGGCAACTGTGAGGTGCTTGTCTGAGAACTACTTTTAGAAGCCAACTGGGACACACTTGCTAAGGAAGTGCTTTTGGAAACCAGAGATCCACTGGTCTGGGAGCTGCTCTTGGAAGCTAATAGTGACGCAGCTACCTGGGAAGTGCTTTTGGAAGTTAGCAGCGATGTATTTGTTGAAGAGCTGCTCTTGGGAGTCAGTAAGGATGTGCCTGATGAGGAACTGTTTTTAGAAACAGATGATGAAACACTTGCCTCTGAACTAGGTTTGGAAGTTAACCCACTTGAAGCTGTCTCTGAACTAGGTTTGGAAGACAATAATGGCAACTCTACTTCTGAGCTTCCTGAGGAGCCCAACAAGGGCACCTCGATCTCTGAGCTGCTTTGAGAAGCTGGGGCTGAAGAGCTTTCCAAAGCACTCTTTTTAGGTGATCCACTTTGTTGTCTAGAATCAGTGGATTGGGTCATGTGACTATTCACACTGGATTTCAGCAAGGAAACAAATGATGCAGAACCGTGTTTATCTGGAGCTTCTGCTTCAGAAGCTTTCCCAGATCCTGCCGATGTTACCTGAGAGGAAACGCTGCTGCTGCTTTGGCTGGAAACAGACCGATCTCCATCACTTGTAGAGCTATTCTCACTGGAGATGCCAGAGCTCCGAGTTGAGTTCCCACTCTCTGATTTGGCGGCCGACGCTGTACATGCTGAACTGTTTTCCTGCTGAGCTGATGCACGTTCTGTCTTGGCAGGAGTTTTTGCGTGATCTTGCTCAACTGCAGAACTGTTTTTTCCTTCTAGAACTCGTTTTTTGGATGGCTCTTCTACCCCTTCTAAAAAGAAGAAAAACATAGATACGTGACTAAGAATACCTCGTACAAAATAGGTGATGAGACAAATACACATTAAAATAAAGGCATGAGGTGAAAATATTTCAGGACTAATCGTTTCTTTAAAAAGTGTGGAATCATTAATTTCTTTTTTTTTTTTTTTGAGACGGAGTTTCACTCATGTTACCCAGGCTGGAGTGCAATGGCGCGATCTCGGCTCACCGCAACCTCCGCCTCCTGGGTTCAGGCAATTCTCCTGCCTCAGCCTCCTGAGTAGCTGGGATTACAGGCACGCACCACCATGCCCAGCTAATTTTTTGTATTTTTTAGTAGAGACAGGGTTTCACCATGTTGACCAGAATGGTCTCGATCTCTTGACCTCGTGATCCACCCGCCTCGGCCTCCCAAAGTGCTGGGATTACAGGCTTGAGCCACCGCGCCCGGCCGGAATCATTAATTTCTTAAAACAGTGTTGAATAACATCACGAATGTCAAATTTTAAAAAATTAACAGCACCAGACAACAGTAGACACTTCAAAATCTAAAGCAGTCAAAGCAAACTATCAAATTCAAAGCCTAAAGATACAGATATATAGTTTAGATTTAACGTTCCAACTTTATTAATAATATTAGAAAAATTCTAGCTTGTTAAAAAATTAGTAACAATCATTCCTAATTACATCAAACTTATGCTCTAAACTCCTATGTATGTTCACATCTATGATCTGCTAACCATTGCTACTCGATATCCCTCTTTTCTTCACCTTGGCAACCAGTTCGTCTCTTGTTGTATAGGTTGGAGCATCTGTCACTTTGATGCCTTCAGCCATACTAAGTATTTTATCCATAACTTTTTGAGGGTATCTGAAAAAGAAGGAAAAGTCACTTTAACAAAGTGTTTTCTCTAAGGTACTACTTGTGCTGTGCAAACACAGGCCGCAGGAACTGCATTTCCTGGCTGCAATCAAGAAAGTGCACCAACCGCCAAGAAGTGTTTCCTGGAACCCCATCAACAAGCGCCCTAAGGTCTGGGAGGCAGGGTACCTCCTCACTAATCTTAAACCTAGCGCCCGTCCCCGAGAGCATGGTCAGCCAACACCAGCAACCCTACCAGCAGCCCCCCACGGCACGGGGCACACAGACGTCCGGGAATCCCGTCGGCTCCTCGCAGGGACGCCCTTCTCACCCTTAGAGGGCAGCCGGGCCTGCGGATTCCCGCGCTTCACAACTTCCCCTTCCCCGCCCAAGCCGGTGCCGCCGAGGGCGCGACGGGCCCCGGTCTGCAGGTGGCAGACAAAATGGGGCGTGCTGTTTAGGGACGCTGCCTCACTCACCGGCACCCGAGGAAGACGTGGTTCGCCCAGGCCATGGAAAAGGAGATGAGCTGCTGCAGCTGCCGGTTCCGGGTCCCGCTCTCGGCGTCGGCAGCTTCATCCGTGCTAGCGCAGGCAGCGCCGCCAGCGGGGGCCAGGTCCCCGGCGTTGCGGAGCAAAAAATCCCGGCGGTGGCGCCAGTGTTTGTCAGTCTCGCCGTCGCAGCGCAACGCCTCCACCCAGGCGGCCACCCGCGGGTTCTGGCTCAGGTACTCCGACACGTCCTGCGCCATGTTGGGCCTACAGGCCGCGAGCACAGCTGCACCGGGAGACAGGCGCGGCGCGCGGGAGCGAGCGGCCCTGTCACTGCGGCCTGCACCGGCGGCCCTCTAGAGAACGCCCCTCCGGAGGCCCAAACACCAAACAACAGCGCCCGGAGCAGCCGAACCGCCCACTTCCGCCCGCCGCCGGCTTCTTCCCTTTTATAACCTCGCCGCCGCCGAGCGCCCTCGCGTTCTTCCGGCGCGAGCCGGCGCTCCCAGGATGCTTTGCGGCGTCGGGGCGGCCGCGACGCTGCGTCCCCGTCTGGCCACGGAGGGGATCGGGGGTGGGCGGAGTAGGCGGGCGTGGGGCGTGGGGCGCCTCCCGCCCGCCGAGGGCGGGCTGCAGGTCCCGCTGGCCCCGGACGCCCAAGTCTCGGCGGAACCCCAGGCGTTCTGGCCTCGCTTTGTGACGCCGCGCTCTCCTGCCGCCCTACCCCCACGCCGGGCCAGCTGCGGCGCTGGGAGAAGAGGCCAGCGGGGCTGGGCCGGGGCAAGCGAGGCAGCCGGGCGCGGCGGGCAAAGTCCTCCTGGGCGGCGTCCCGGGGGACCTTGAGCCGCCGGCAGCTGCGGGGCCTTTGGTGTCCGCCCTGAGACTGCCTGTGGGTGAGCTGGGCCAAGACACACAAAAGCCGGCCTCCATGTTCGTAGAGTGTCGGGCACGGCGTGTCGCGCTGCTTTCAGTGTGCCCGAGCGGAGCGTTCCGAGGCCGCCGGGTCTCGGCGCAGTCGGGAGGGCGGGGGTGCCGGTCCCCTTACACAGCAGCCGTAGACAGTAAGGTCACAAGAGGCCCGGCTCCGTGTTACCGTGAGGCTTGCAGCCTTTGAGGCTGTCCCCGGCCCCGCAGCGGTTGCGCTTTTCTCGCAGTTCCTTAGGTCTCTAGTTAAGGCAGGCATTGCCTTCCTGTTTTGGTCAGTAGCAGAACGACTCCACTCCGACAACGTTCTGTCTCTAGGATTTCCTAACGTCAACAACTTTACCTCCGACCGGCAGATGTCCGGAGGTGGAGTGGAAATGTGCCTATTTTATCTGTAGGGCCCCAACCCTGTCCCTCTTACAGCTATTTTTTCCTTCTGTATATATTTTTAACACTATACATTTCCCACAGTTATGTACTCTTACGGCTGGCTTGCTTATTGTTAGGTTTTCTATTTCGGGTATACGTGCGCTCTAAGATTAATTTTAATACAGTGATATAAATTATGAAATTTTTCTTTCAATAAATGTAGACTTTCATGTAAAAATGCTTGAATCAGAATAATCAAGCCAAAAAAACGGTCACTTTAGGTAAGATCAGAGTTTAACCGGGTAATTTATGTACATACTGGAACAATAAAATACAGCTATTATAAGAAACCAGTATTGTCTCTTCCTGTCATACCAAACGAAAATGCATAAAAATGGGGGCACAAAGAAATTTTGAAGCTTATGATTTTTCCTTATAGTTTGCTATTCTTTCCTCCTTTTCACAGATAATTGCTGCAAATGTAGAGGGGTGGACGGATTGCAAAAATCTGGCTGTTTAAAAGATGGAGAAATCATGGTTTCTCCTTTCATGAATTCATTTGCTGTTCAGTTCCTTTCACGAATTCATACCATAGCAAGTGAAGAAGCTGTGTTCACATACCTGCGTGATATGTGTGAGGTTTTTTTGTTTGTTTGTTTTGTTTTGTTTTTTTTTGAGACGGAGTTTCACTCTTGTTACCCAGGCTAGAGTGCAATGGCGCGATCCCGGCTCACCGCAACCTCCGCCTCCTGGGCTCAGGCAGTTCTGCTGCCTCAGCCTCCTGAGTAGCTGGGATTACAGGCACGCGCCACCATGCCCAGCTAATTTTTGTATTTTTAGTAGAGACGGGGTTTCACCATGTTGACCAAGATGGTCTGGATCTCTTGACCTCGTGATCCACCGGCCTTGGCCTCCCAAAGTGCTGGGATTACAGGCTTGAGCCACCGTGCCCGCCCGATATATGTGAGTTTTAAATCAAGGATGTTCCCACAGCTGGGCACCGTGGCTCACGCCTGTAATCCCAGCATTTTGGGAAGCCGGAGCGGATCACGAGGCCCGGAGTTAAAGATCAGCCTGGCCAACGTAGTGAAACCCCATCTTTACTAAAAATAAAAAATATTAGCCGGCGTGGTGGCACGCGCCTGTAGTCCCAGCTACTAAGGAGGCTGAGGTGAGAGAATCGCTTGAACCTGGGAGGCGGAGGTTGCAGTGAGCCCAGACCATGCCATTGCACTCTGGCCTGGGTAACAGAGACTCTGTCTCAAAAAATAATGAATGTTCTCAGCTTTTTTCTTGTTGCCTTATAGTCTTCCTCCCACTCATGGGCTTCATTGCCTTGAAGGGAGAACAAATAGAGCCTGAATTTCAAAATATTTTTTTAATTATAATAAAAGCAATAAAGTCTGAAAGGTGGCATACTCATTTGCAAAAGCCAGGTGCTTGGCAGAAAAATGTACAGGTATTTTTCTTTTTTGATTCTTAAAAAGTTGACTTTCTGTGTAAAGATTCAGAGACACTGAACCACAAGCAGCTGGGACTGCAGGCAGGCGCCACTATGATGGGCTAATTTTTTATTTTTTTTGTAGAGACAAGGTTTCACTATGTTGCCCAGGCTGGTTTTGAACTCCTAATCTCAAGCAATCCTTCTGCCTCAGCTGCTGCAGCTGCTTTTTTTTTTTTTTTTTTTTTTTTAATAGAGACGGGGTTTCACTATGTTGGCCAGGCTGGTCTTGAAATCCTGACCTCATGAGTCTCCCACCTCGGCCTCCCAAAGTGTTGGGATTACAGGCGTGAGCCACCACACCCTGCCCTCAGCTTCTTAAAGTGCTGGGATTATAGGCATGAGTCACTGTGCCTGGCCTCATTTTTTTGGCCTCTTTTTTTTTTTAAAGACCTTCCGGGCCAGGCGTGGTGGCACTCACGCCTGTAATCCCAGCACTTTGGGAGGCTGAGGTGGGCGGATCACAAGGTCAGGAGTTTAAGACCAGCCTAACCAATATGGTGAAACCCCATCTATATTTAAAAAAAAAAAACCTTCCCACCTACAGAGACAAATTACTCTCTAAGCTGGGGAAGACGTTCAGAGAGAAAGGATGAGAGGAGAACTTAGATGATAACTAGGAAAATCTATGGAAGCAGGAAATAAGATGCAAGGAGGGAAGTGTTGGCTGTTATAAATTGCTGGATAGGCCCGGCGCGGTCACTCACGCCTATAATCCCAGCACTTTGAGAGGCCGAGGCGGGTGGATCACGAGGTCAAGAGATCAAGGCCATCCTGGTCAACATGGTGAAACCCTGTCTCTACAAAAAATACAAAAATTAGCTGGGCTCTCTACCCTTACACAGCATGTATATATATACACACACACACACAGACGCGTGCAGATATATCTCACAGGGCCTAGAGGAGATCCAAAAAGTTCCCAAAAGAGAGTTGAATGGTGAAGTGCCTACCAAGTACCAAGGTCAAAGGTGAATGATGCTGGGGGTGGTCAGCCTGTCAGCAAAGGAAGATGCAATGAGTTTTCAGCAAGTCATCAGACCAATGCCCATCAGGCCACATCTGTAGGAGAGGACCCTCAGCCTCTCCTGAAATGATCAGTGTGCATTGCTTGTGCTGCGAGATCAGGCAGTTACACTCTCAGCAGAACCCACAGGGAAGAAGGCACAAGACAATGCTAGAATGGTAACCAAGCCTCGCCCCACCACTGCCCTCACTAGAAATCTGCTCAGACCAGAAAAGGGAGAGAATTCTAATGAACTGAGAGAGATCCACTATCATCCCAAATTGAGTTTCAAACCACAAGTGACTGAGTTCACAAGATGGAATTTCCTGCTCTAAGCAGAAGCCCATTCATTGAAACTGGTGCTGTAGCATGTCTCTCTCTCTGAAGACATCCAATAAAAGTTCTAGCGGCAAGCTGGCCTTTCTGCAGATGACTTTCCGGTGGAGCAACATGAAGGGATTGCCCCTGTTCCTGGATGTGATTACAGAAGCAAGAAAGCCTTGGCAGGAAGGTCTGCATGTGGGGTGCAGAGGCTTGTGAGGGGCAAATACTCCAGTCATGGCCAAGGTTAGACTTGATGTGAGACACACTTCATCGGGAGGGGAAATCCTTTACACAAATGATGTGTGAGGACAAAATCTGCCAAATTACAGTGATAAGGTGTGATGTCCTGAAAGTTAAAGCAAGATAATGTTTTAAAAGTGTGATCCCTTGTGTCAGAAGCTTCGAGAAATCAAATAGGAGGAAGATTGGTAGTAACAGTCTGATTAGGGATTGGAGCCACATGTGAGCTTAGCAAAAGCAGTTTTACTGCAGTGATGAAGACAGACTCCATATCAGAGTGAGTTCAGGAGTCGGAAATGGAGATATCTAGCTGTAAAGGGGAGAAGAGAGAGGAAGCTGCACAGGGTCATGGGGTCAAGGTGGCTTTTCAATTTCAGATGGGAATAGCCTCAACACGTGCCCCACTGCTTGAGGGCAGCTCACAGAGAAGAGGAGTTTGAGGATCCTGAGGAGAAAGAAGGTAATTAGCAATTTCTGAAGACATAGGTGTGGCTGGGATCCACACCCAGGCGGAGAGATTACCCTTAGCTGGGCAGACACTTCCTCTATTTTAAAAGAAGAGGTTTAGGCCGGGCGCGGTGGCTCAAGCCTGTAATCCCAGCACTGTGGGAGGCCGAGGCAGGTGGATCACGAGGTCAAGAGATCGAGACCATCCTGGTCAACATGGTGAAACCCCGTCTCTACTAAAACTACAAAAAATCAGCTGGGCATGGTGGCGCGTGCCTGTAATCCCAGCTACTCAGGAGGCTGAGGCAGGAGAATTGCCTGAACCCAGGAGGCGGAGGTTGTGGTGAGCCGAGATTGTGCCATTGCACTCCGGCCTGGGTAACAAGAGTGAAATTCTGTCTCAAAAAAAATAAATAAATAAAATAAAAGAAGAGGTTTGTGGCCTGTAATCCTAGCACTTTGGGAGGCCAACGTTAGTGGATCACCTGAGGTCAGGAGGTCGAGACCGGCCTGGCCAACATGACGAAACCCCGTCCCTACTAAATATACAAAAATTAGCTAGGCTTGGTGATGTATGCCTGCAATCTCACTACCAAGGAGGCTGAGGCAGGAGAATCAGTTGAACCCGGGAGGTGGAGGTTGCAGTGAGCCAAGATGACTCCACTGCACTCCAGCCTGTGTGATGGGAGCAAGACTCTGTCTAAAAAATAAAAAAGAAGAGGTTTGTAAGTTTGGAGGTGAGAAGTTGACGTGGAGGCCGTCTGATGGTGCAGAGAATGCTTGAGGTAGATATTTTAGAGGGCAGGAGAGGAATCTGCCTAGATGAACATAGTTTTTCTGGCCAATTTAAAATTACAGGCTGGGCGTGGTGGCTCATGCCTGTAATCCTAGCACTTTGGGAGGCCTAGGTGGGCAGATTGCTTGAGCCCAGAAGTTCAAGACCAGCCTAGTCAACATGGCAACCCTGTCTCTACAAAAAATACAAAACTAATTTGGGTGTGTTGGTACATACTTGTAGTCCCAGCAACTCGAGAGGCTAAGGTGGGAGAGCCACCTGAGCCCACGAGGTCAAGATTGCAGTGAGCTATGATGGCGCCACTGCACTCCAGCCTGGGGAACAGAGGGAGACTCTCTCTCAAAAAATAAATTTAATAAAATAATAAAATAAATAAATGCGCACACAAAAATGAACATCTACATAGAAAAAAAGAAGCATAAATGAAAGTAAACAATCTCTCTCACTTGCCCTAGTCCCACTCTGTGGACATCAGCATTCATGCCATTTCTATCTTTATTTCTTTGGGTGATTATTGTCAGAACTACGAATTAAATGCTTATACATCAATTTCTTAATTTTTAATTATTTATTTATTTAGAGATAGAGTCTTGCTCTGTCACCTAGACTGGACTGCAGTGGTGCCATCTCGGCTCACTGCAACCTCTGCCTCCCAGGTTCAAGCCATTCTCCTGCCTCAGCCTCCCAAGTAGCTGGGACTACAGGTGTGTGCCGCCACACTGAGCTAATTTTTTGTATTTTTAGTAGAGATGGGGTTTCACCATATTAGCCAGGATGGTCTTGATCACCTGACCTCGTGATCCACCCACCTTAGCCTCCCAAAGTGGTGGGATTACAGACATGAACCACCGTGCCTGGTCCATTTCTTCTTAATTTTTCAACTTTAAGCAGTACTTATTTCACTCCTGAATGTTGAGGCTGAGAAATTCATATCATTTACACTACCCTTTTTTCTCATAATTTTGTTATCTTTTATTGTTTTCCCATTGGCTCCCTGCCATAAATTCAAATATTATACTTAATCATCAGTTTTTAATCTGTCAACTTAAGGCAGGTAGCTCTTGATTTCCACATCATGTAAGAAAATTCTGAAGGAGAGACCATATTACAGATATTTGGATATTCCAAAAATATGCCTTTAGGATAAAATCTAGTCTCTGGTGATAAATTGACAGCAGATGGATAATTCTAAAGTTTTCCTACTTTCCTGCGGGATTTATGCCATTGTTTTTACATTAAGCCTTAACATTAATAAATGTTAATAAATTTGTTTGCTGCTGTGAAGATTAAGTAGATTGTGAAGTTAAACCTTTCATGGGGGTTAGATTCTAAAATCAGCATGTAAATGGAAGTCAGATGTGATTCCACTTTACCTTCTTTTCCTGTAGTGTAGCAATTGACCTCTATGTGGTGGCTTATGCCTGTAATCCCAGCACTTTGGGAGGCCAGGGAGGGTGGACCACCTGAGGTCAGGAGTTTGAGTCCGACCTGGCCAACATGGTAAAACCCTGTCTCTATTAAAAAAGTACAAAAATTAGCCAGGCATGGTGGTACGCACCTGTAATCCCAGCTACTCGGGAGGCTGAGGCAGAAGAATCACTTGAACCTGAGAGGTGGATATTGCAGTGAGCCGAGCTCGCACCACTGCACTCCAGCCTGGGCAACAGAGCAAGACTCAGTTTCAAACAATTAAATGAACAAACAAAAACAACAACAAAACCCAGAAAGGCCCTTGGGCATCTACTGATGAGAAGTTTGAGAACCATGGGCTTTTTCTACAGGTTTAATTAATCAAAATCTCATTTGATTAATTTCAGTTGCTAGTAACAAAAGATTATGGTTTAACATGGTGTCTGCTAAAACACACAGGGAATTTATTGGCTGTGTTATTGAGTCTGGAGGTAGACCGTGGGATCCAGGTACTCAATCAATATAATCAGGAAACCTGTTTCTCTTGTCTCTGCAGTCTCAGGCAAGGTCTTCCTATATCGTGGCAAAATGGTTTCTTTTTTTCTTTTTTTTTTTTTTTTTTTTTTTTTTGAGACGGAGTTTCACTCATGTTACCCAGGCTAGAGTGCAATGGTGCGATCTCGGCTCACCACAACCTCCGCCTCCTGGGTTCAGGCAATTCTCCTGCCTCAGCCTCCTGAGTAGCTGGGATTACAGGCACGCACCACCATGCCCAGCTAATTTTTTGTATTTTTTTTTTAGTAGAGACGGGGTTTCACCATGTTGACCAGGATGGTCTCGATCTCTTGACCTCGCGATCCACCCGCCTCGGCCTCCCAAAGTGCTGGGATTACAGGCTTGAGCCACCGCGCCCGGCCAAGCAAAATGGTTTCTACTAGCTCACAGCATACATTTTTCATAGCTCAGCAACTCAATAGCGAGAGAGCTTCTCTTCCTGATAGTTTCCAAGGTTCTGTTGGGAGTTCTTTGGTCCTGCTGAGTAACGTATCTGTCCCTTACATACACACTCTAGCCAGGTGTATGAAATGATTGTTCAGGCCTGACTCATTCATTTGCCCTGAAAATGATAAAACATCTGAGTAATGTCAGTGTCTTGCAAGGAAAATAACAAACTCAATAAATAAAAGAATTTATACTCAAGGAAATGAAGATTACAGCAATATGAACAGAAGGATGACCAAATACCAGAAAAGAAGTTAAAGAAAGGATGGTAGTAAGGTTTAATGGCACAAGACAATTCTTTTTTTTTTTTTTTTGAAATGGAGTCGCACCCTGTGGCCCAGGCTGGAGTGCAGTAGCTCAGTTTTGGCTCACTGCAACCTCTGCCTCCCAAGTCCAAGCGATTCTCCTGCCTCAGCCTCCTGAGTAGCTGGAATTACAGGCATGCACCACCACGCCCGGCTAATTTTTGTATCTTTAGTAGAGACGGGGTTTCACCATGTTGGTCAGGCTGGTCTCAAACTCCTGACCTCGTGATCTGCCCACCTTGGCCTCCCAAAGTGCTGGGATTACAGCATGAGCCACGGTGCCCAGCGAGACACAAGACAATTGTAAGAGGTGCTGCTGTCAGGATGGCTTCCTTATTTCCCACATTTTAGCCAAAGTGAAAAACCTTTTTATAGCAATCTTTACATTTTTATATAGTGCTTCCTAGAGCCTTACTGGAGACAATTTCATCTTTTTAGTCTTCATGTTTCTCCTAACACCAGCAAGGTGAGGTATTATTAGACACTGTTGAGGTTTTTTTTTATCTTTATTGAGTTTCCCTCTCGTTAGCGAGGGTTTTTATTTTCGCGATCTCGGGTCACCGCAACCTCCGCCTCCTGGGTTCAGGCAATTCTCCTGCCTCAGCCTCCTGAGTAGCTGGGATTACAGGCACGCGCCACCATGCCCAGCTAATTTTTTGTAGTTTTAGTAGAGACGGGGTTTCACCGTGTTGACCAGGATGGTCTCGATCTCTTGACCTTGTGATCCACCCACCTCGGCCTCCCAAAGTGCTGGGATTACAGGCTTGAGCCACCGCGCCCGGCCGGTATTATTAGATTTTATTTTCCCATCCTTTTGTGAAGCTCTACACCTGTCCCTTATCCCAGAATGTAGGAGAGAGATGGAGTCCAGAGAACAGCTGGTATTTGGAGAGCAGCAGTTCACCTTCCCATGAAACAATAAACTTGATCCTAACTCTTCAGAATCATGGAAAGTTTGAGCTGGAGGGGGACTTTGCAGATTGCACTTATAGACAAAGAAACCTAGGTTCAGCATGGTTAACTTATTGCCCAAGGTGAAACAATTGGTTAATGGCAGAGCAAGAATAAGAAACCAAAGAACATAGTTGTTCTACTGACTTCTGGTCTAGAACTCTCTCCCGTCACCTACTGCTTGGCGAAGTTTAATGAATCAGCAGTTTTGGTTAACTCATCAGTGTGGTGACTGAAAGATAAACAGGAACTGAGCTAGGACTTGTTAAATCCAAAAACTAAGATTATGACCACAACCATCCACTTCATTATTGGGCCCTTTGGAAATTAGGAGCAGGAAGGGTAAAAAAAATCTCTGCTACTTTGTACCCAGGGCTCCCGTTCATGAATGTGTCATTGCCTTGTAAATGTGAGCAGCGGAGGAAACAGAAAGGAATGTTCCTGGGAGAATCTAGAAAGCCAAAGGAAAGAACAGCGTAGAGCCTAATTTAGCGGTCAAAAATATCAATTTAGGAGTCAGACGTTCCTAAGTCGGAGTTCTGGTTCTATATTTACCACCACTGAGGCTATGGGTAAATTATTCCTATTTTCTAAGTCTTCATTTTCTTATCTGTAAAAGTGGATACAAGCACCTATGAATCATAACAAATAAATTAGAGACCTATATAAAGTCACACAGCTGAAATCTAATTAATGAACTTTAGAAACACCTAAGGTTTTGGCCGGGCGGGGTGGCTCACGCCTGTAATCCCAGCACTTTGGGAGGCCGAGGCGGGTGGATCACGAGGTCAAGAGATCGAGACCATCCTGGTCAATACGGTGAAATCCCGTCTCTACTAAAAATACAAAAAATCAGCTGGGCATGGTGGCACATGCCTGTAATCCCAGCTACTCAGGAGGCTGAGGCAGGAGAATTGCCTGAACCCAGGAGGCGGAGGTTGCGGTGAGCCGAGATCGCGCCATTGCACTCCAGCCTGGGTAACAAGAGCGAAACTCCGTCTCAAAAAAAAAAAAAAAAAAAAAGAAACACCTAAGGTTTTATTTGATAATACTGACAACATTTAATAATTGTTTCTTTTTTGTTTCTGCAGAGAACTTTTTTTTCAAATAAATTCTGAGTATGGTAGGTACAAATCTCTGTCCATAATTTCAAGGTGTGTAAACAAATGTAGCTACAATATTTTTCTCTAATTTAATTTGTTTTCTATTTTAAGATCCCATTCTACCAAATGGTGGAAACCTAATTTCTGTCACCTCAAGATCTTGCCTCCTTCTCTATGAATTTGAGAATCCATTCCAAGGAGCGGACACAGTGTTGAGACACAGGGGCAGGGGCAGGGCCAAGGTGAGGCGCTCCCAGGCATCCCCTGAAATAGCCATCTTTCCACCAGGTTTCGGCCCACTAAGCCCACGTGGGCCGCTGCTGCTCCCTCCGCATCCCTGCAGCCGGGCCTCTCGAGGTCAGGCGACTCTCTCTGCTGTGCTCATGCCTCTCAGGCACAGCAAATGTCTCATAACCTACTGTACCTTGCTGGGGAGTACGTGTTCTCTGTGAGGCCCTCTCAGTCCACTTGCCCAGACGTGGCCCACATCCTTTCTAGTCTACTCCTCCTGCCATGCCAGGAAGAGGGAACGGGCTAGTCTTGCAGCTTCGCTGGCTGCTTCTGGGAATGTGCATGGTCACCATACTCACGGATCCCCTAGACCTTCTAAGGTTGCCGTCATCCTTCCTCACCTCTCAGTTTCCCTTTCTTCTCCCCTCCCGTTGCAGTTCAGCCTTGCAGGTACAGGTAGGCAGGACATGGGGCCTCTCTTCAGGGAACAATGTCAGCAGCGGAATTCCCTAGCCTCCCCTCTCACCCTTCAAGTTTTCCTTTCCATTGGGTAATTTCCTACCTGGATATGAGGTAGCCTGGGTCTTCGTTTGTTCTTTGAAACCTACTGTTACTATGCCCATAAAAGTCAGGGCTCTGCTTCTTTTGCCTTCTGTATTCTGCTGCATCTTGCAAAAGGCAGTGGCCATAGAACACCCGTGTCTCAAGCAGAGGCAGGCAGTTTTAAAGGTTAGAGCCGCCTCTGGAACCCCCTGAGGAAATGAGGGAAGGGGGCACTGTTAGCCATATCTGCCGAAGCCCCCTTAAATATTAACACTGCCGACTGGTTTTAATTTTTCATAAATTTCTTTAACCTTAGAGAATAGGTAGAGCAGCCTTGTGGACAATTTGCAAGCTAATAAAGAATATGTGGATCAGGCCAGGCACGGTGGCTCACGCCTGTAATTCCAGCACTTTGGGAGGCTGAGGCGGGCGGATCACCTGAGGTCAGGAGTTCACGACCAGCCTGGCCAATATGGTGAAACATCATCTCTACTAAAAATACAAAAATTAGTGGGTGTGGTGGCGTGCGCCTGTATTCCCAGCTACCCGGGAGGCTGAGGCAGGACAATTGCTTAAACCCGGGAGGCGCAGATATAGGGGAGCCAAGCTTGCACCACTGGACCCCAGCCTGGGTGGCAGAGCAAGACTCCATCTTAAAAAAAAAAAAAAAAAGAACTATGTGGATCAATGTAGTCATTCCTTCATTCCTCCATGCATCCTAGCAAGGATCTCATGTTTAGCTCCCTTCCAAGGACTACACTGAGCTTCTAAGGCCCTTTCCCCTTTAGCCTTCTACATTGCATCTCAAAAGGAGAAGTTAAAAGTCAGCCAGAAAGGCCGGGCGCGGTGGCTCACGCTTGTAATCCCAGCACTTTGGGAGGCCGAGGCGGGTGGATCGCGAGGTCAAGAGATCGAGACCATCCTGGCCAACATGGTGAAACCCCGTCTCTACTAAAAATACAAAAAAATTAGCTGGGCATGGTGGCGCACGCCTGTAGTCCCAGCTACTCGGGAGGCTGAGGCAGGAGAATTGCTTGAACCCAGGAGGCGGAGGTTGCAGTGAGCCGAGATCGTGCCATTGCACTCCAGCCTGGGTAACAAGAGCGAAACTCCGTCTCAAAAAAAAAAATAAATAAATAAAAATAATAAAAGTCAGCCAGAGGAGGGACCAGTTGGCACCTCCAGTCAGATCTAAAGGATTAAACCCCCTAGTGCTAACCACACTCCTCTCTCTAGATCACGGATATGAAGTGGAGGAATTTTCCCCAGAAGGTACTGTTCTCGCATAATCACGATTAGACCCCCCACCTAAGTCACGTGCTCCACTTACCTCATCGATCACGACCCTCCCACATGTAACCTCTAAGACTGTGAGCCTTTAAAAGAGGACAGGATTTTCTAGTCGGGGAGCTTGGTGGTTTTGGCATCTATGCTGCTGCAGCTCCCGGCCGAATAAAATGACCGCCTCCTTCCCTGTAAGTGTTCCAGAGGTTTGTTTGCAGCTCGCCTGCTTCACAATGAGGCCAAGGTTATAAAATACAGTGGGGGAAGATGAAGCAAAGGCGAAGAAACGTGTTCAGCAAGTGGTCTAAACAGGAAGAATGAGCTGACAGTGTTTGATGGGCCACCAGAGAGAGCATTTTAAAATCCCATTTTCGCCTCTTCTCCCCCTTATGTGACTGTTGGTTGAATAGGGATAAGTTTTTAAAGCCTCAATTAATTTTAAGGAAGGAAACAAAGTAAGTGTTTTTCTTCCCACCAGGCAAGGCAGTTTTGATGTTAAAAACCTCATTGATAGTGGTAATACTATGCAGTTCATTTCTAAAATGGGAACAAAAGCACTGTTTTCGTTCTCACTAGGGAAGGCAGTTTTAAACACCTCATTGAGGGCAGCACTGCCAGGCTCATTTAGGACTTGGTAATAGCTCCTCTCGACAAGACAGTGCTGAGAACACAGGGTGAAACCTACAGCTCTCAGACGAGCTTTCCCCCACCTACTAGCAAAGGCACATTTTCTCTGTTTCCTGAAAGGAGTGTCTGAGTGCCATGCAATCCAATGATCTTCACGATGCCAAGTCCCATGGAAATGAATGCGGGAGCTTCTGCTGTTGACTTCAGTGAGTCTGGGTGTGGTGAAATGGCTTCCCCAAGGCTTTGATACAGAATGAAGAGGGTGGGGGCTGTCTATTCACATTCATTTATTCTTCCCATCTAGAGTTTAAGAGGAGGAGAACACTCCTTTTATTACTGCCACCCGAAACTAGAACTAGTAGAAAGGCAGGGAAAAGAACATGGTTGTATCACCTGCAAGGCTGGGAATTTACTCCTTATCGTGGGGGAAGACCTCTGGTGGCATGTTTTAGTAAGCATGTAGGTAGAGTCAGACACTGCGGCTGAAGGCATCAGCTTAGACTCACGAGAGAGCTTGATGTGTGTGGGCTGTCCTGCTGCTCACTGGGCGCTGGCCTGGCCTCAGTGGCTCTGGGTCCTAGCTTTGTGGACTTCGCATCACCTCTGGTTGTCTTGCAAGACAGAGATCACATATGCTTGAGTTACTGGTTCAGAGAGAGGAGATGTAATATGCCCACTGGGGGATGGGAGAAAGAACTATTAGAAAAAAAATGAAAGTAATTCAAATCTAATTATTCAATTCTAAACACTTCAATTCTCTTCTAGCAGGGGTCTGCCCCTCAGAGCTGCAGGCAAGTGAGCAAAGCTTCATCTGTATTCACAGCCACTCCCCCGAGTGCTCGCATTACCGCCGGAGCTCCTTCTGTTGTCAGATCAGCGGTGGCTCCTAGCAGCCAGAACCCTATTGTGAACTGCGAATGTGAGGGATCTAGGCTGTGTGCTGCTTATGAGAATCTAATGCCAGATGATCTGTCACTGACTCCCATCACCCCTAGTTGGGACCATCTAGTTGTAGAAAAACAAGCTCAGGACTCCCACTGATTCTACATTATGGTGAGTTGTTATCATTATTTCTTTACATGTTACAATATAATCATAACAGAAATAAAGTACGCAACGAATGTGATGCGCTTGAATCATTCCCACACCACCCCTCACCCCATCCATGGAAAAATTATCTTCCGTGAAACCTGGTCCCTGGTGCCAAAAAGGCTGGGGACTGCTGTCTTATGCCATCATAGATTCATGGAATTCTTTTATAGGTAGGTTCTTTAGGGGTAACTGAAGCTGTTTCCTCATTTTTAGGAAATATAGGAAAGAGTAGGAAATTGAGGCTCAGAAAGGCCATTTAGCAGCGACTAACACAAGCTCCAGGTCAGTATTGCTTCTATGAGCCCTGGTCTCCAGAATAGAAAAGGCCAGTCAAGGCTACCACTGGAAGTCCCCTAGTCAGATGCAAAGAGAGGATCCAGGATCCAAGCTGATTTACGGTTAACTCGTTTGGGGAATTCACAATGCTCCAAAAGGCAAGAAGAAAACAACACAAGACCGTACACACGACAGCAAAGAGTCTTAACAAACAGCAGCACCTTCTTCAGAGTCTCACTGGCCACTGATGTGTGACTTCTTCCCCTGGCCCCCCCATTCCAAGCTTTCGGCACGGAGACCCACGTGAGACCTGTGGGAGAGCTGTGTGGAGCCTGGGAACTGTATTTAGTCTCCTACCTTTTACATTTAAAAATGCAGTTTCAGCTGGTGCTGTGGCTCACATCTGTAATCGCAGCAATTTGGGAGGCCGAGGCGGGAGGATCACGAGGTCAAGAGATCGAGACCATCCTGGCCAACATGGTGAAACCCATCTCTATTAAAAATACAACAATTAGCTGGGCATGGTGGTGCGCACCTGTAATCCCAGCTACTTGGGAGACTGAGGCAGGAGAATTGCTTGAACCTGGGAGGCGGAGGTTGCAGTGAGCTGAGGTCACACCACTGCACTCAAGCCTGGCACCTGGTGACAGAGCAAGATTCCATCTAAACAAAAATAAATAAATAAAAGGAACTTCGGCTAGCGCAGTAGCTCACATCTGTAATCACAGCACTTTGGGAGGTCGAGGCAGGCGTATCACCTAGATCAGCAGTTCGAGACCAGCTTGGCCAACATGGCAAAACACAGTCTCTACTAAAACACACACACACACACACACACACGCCAGGTGCAGTGGCTAGTGTCTGTAATCCCGCTACTCAGGAGGCTGAGACAGAAGAATCGCTTGAACCCAGGAGGCGAGGTTGCAGTGAGCCGAGATCGCGCCACTGCACTCCAGCCTGGCAACAGAACGAGACTCCGTCAAAAAAAAAAAGAAAAAAAGAAATGCAATTTTATCCTTATAACTTTCTGGAATCAAGAAGGTGGTTTTGAACATACAAAGGGAAATGTTTTATAAAGGAAACACGAGAAAGCAACAAGACGTTGGCCGCTTTGCTACTGAAACCCTTAACAAGTAAGAGCGCTCTAGAAATACAAGGTATATTATTCTACTTATTTTGTTCCAGAATAATGCATGCTATTATGTTAGCTTTTTCCATAACAGGCCATTTTTCTCTGGGTGTGGTGATACCTCTCCCACCGCAGCTGAGCCTGAGCCTCAGTAGCTTCGAATGTGAATATAACTTTTTTTGTGAACTTGGTCACATTACTGCGCATAGAATCTGCTTTTGTTTCTCCCAGGGTTAGCCAGAGACTTTCATTGCTTCTTTGCACTTTCCCCACACTCAGGAATCACAGGGAAGCTGTATTGTTCTAGGCGTTAGTTCTTTATTAGCACTCAATCTGCTTCACACTCCACTTGTGTGCCGCCTTTGAAGCCTCAAGAAATCTCCTGCCTGGCAGGAACTGCCAGGCCCAAGCAGTGCAAAGGAAATCACACCCATCGTGGCCCCACCAAAGCGCAGGCCTGGCGCTCACTCCATTTCTCCCGGTGTTTCTAACAATTCTGAATTGAGATGGGAGGAGAGGTGCACTGGAAGGCGCTATATATTCCTAAGAAATTGCATTCACGTCTGCTGACCAGGGCCTGCCCTCCCCTGAGGCTAGTCAATCCCTGCTCCTGGGGGACTGAGAAAGCTGTCCTTGGTGCAGACCCTACAGAGCCCTGTCTTAAGACTTTCTTCTCTTGGCTGGGCACAGTGGCTCACGCCTGTAATCCCAGCACTTTGGGAGGCCAAGGCGGGCAGATCACTTGAGGTCAGGAGTTCGAGACCAGCCTGACCAACATGGAGAAACCATCCTACTAAAAATACAAAAAAATTAGCCTGTCAAGATGGTACATGCCTGTAATTCCAGCTACTTGGGGCTGAAGCAGGAGAGTTGCTTGAACCTGTGAGGCGGAGGTTGCCTTGAGCTGAGATCGCATCACTACACTCCAGCGTGGGCAACAAGACGGAAACTATCTCAAAAAAAAAAAAAAGTTTCTACTCTCTGCTGTTCACACTCAGGCCAGCCCTGCTCCACCCTGCTCTGCCCTGCCCATGCAGAAAGGCTTCCAATCCTACGAGGAACTCCTCAGCATGCCAGCTGTTTGACCTCAAGGGAGTTACTTAACCTTTCTGAGCCTTGCTTGTTTCATCTGTAAAATGGGACGATAGTGGTGACTACCTCATAGGATTGTTGTGAGGATAAAATGAGATAATCCAAAAACTAGCCAGGCGTTGTGGCATACACCGATAGTCCCAGCTGCTCGGGAGGCTGAGG